GGGCCTGCACTGGGGTCACAACAACCCCATGCAATGCTACAGGCTTGGGGAAGAGTGGCTGGAAAGCTGCCTGGCCAAAAAGGACCTGGGGGGTGTTGGTCAACAGCCAGGTGAATGTGAGCCAGCAGTGTGCCCAGGTGGCCAAGAAGGCCAACAGCATCCTGGCTTGTATCAGGAATAGTGTGGCCAGCAGGAGCAGGGAAGTGATTGTCCCCCTGTACTCAGCACTGGTGAGGCCACACCTGGAATACTGTGTCCAGTTTTGGGCCCCTCAATACAAGAAGGACATTGAGGTGCTGGAGTGTGTCCAGAGAAGAGCAGCGAAGCTGGTGAAGGGTCTGGAGCACAAGACCTATGAGGAGCAGCTGAGGAAACTGGGGTTTTTTAGCCTGGAGAAGAGTAGGCTGAGGGGAGACCTTATCGCTCTCTACAACTACCCGAAAGGAGGCTGTAGTGAGGTGGGTGTCAGTCTCTTCTCCCAACTAACAAGCAATAGGATGAGAGCAAATGGCCTCAAGTTGTGCTGGGGAGGTTTAGATTGGATATTAGGAAAAATTTCTTCACCAGAAGGGTAGTCAAGCATTGGAACAGGCTGCCCAGGGAAGAGGTTGAGTTCCCAGCCCTGGAGGTATTTAAAAACCATGTAGATGTAGCGCTTAGGGACATGGTTTAGCGGTGGACTTGGCAGTGCTAGGTTTGCGGTTGGACTCGATGATCTTAAAGGTTTTTTCCAACCTAAGCCAATCAATGATTCTAAGTAATTATTCATCACTCAGTGTAAAAACTATTTGCAGCAATACTGTTTTTCTTAGTTTTCAGAGACATATGAAAATAATTTTTAATTTTCAGGTGTTGGACCTAATTTTTAAAAGCACCCCAGATAACCAAAGCTAGGTTTTTATCAACCCTGTCAACCACTGTGTACTAGACTCTCAGTATGTGTGCTGGGCAGGCAGGCATTGTTCTTTCTATTCTTTCACTAAACTCACTTGAGACTCTTGTGCCAAAAGTGGATTTAAATCCTGACTCTGAATCCTTGTGCTTGTTAGGAGCTTCTGTTAGTGGAAGCCAGTTCTTTTTTTAATAGTGATTAGGCCAATCTTCTTGAGTCTATATCCTGTACCATAATGTACATTCCTATAAAAAGACCGCCTCTTATGTTTTAAAGTAGCTGGTGACATGCTCTCATTCGTGCTGTAGTAACACAGTCAGTGATGTGGGTAAGTACTGCCAGTCTCTGCCTGACCTAGCCAAAATTTCAGAGACCTCTGTCTCCATGTTCTAGCAATGCCTGCTCTCTATTTCTCGCTTCCGCTAGGTGTTGGGGAGGGAGGGATGGATGGAGGAATGTACTCAAATGCTAGCAAAGTTGTCTCTCCTCTGTCAAGCCCCTCCTGCACGCTCCCAGTCCTGCACCCACTTTCCAGAGGAGACTGAGATGCTTTGCTGCAGCCCACCCATCAAAACAGCATCCAGGGGCTGCCCTGACCCCATGCCTGCCTGACCTCTATGCTGGTGCCTCCCTGCATATGCAGGCATCCCTACCGGAGGGGTTGCTTTTCTTTCCCACAGACCAGTGTTTTGCAGACTGACCGTATGGCTGGTTTGGCCATGGTCATTTCAGGAAGGTAAGTCACAGCATCCCCCAAAGCACGGGTGCTTTTTTTAGACTGAGGTGCCATTACGGGAAGTGGCGTGGCATGTTCATCTCTGCTCATTAAGTAAGAGTTATCATGCCCAGGAGTAGCATCCTTGTCAATCTGTAGATAATAGGAAGAAGAATTAGTTTCTAAGCTTCACAACTTAGGAGTGTTTGTTGGAGCAAAGGAGACCTTTAGCTGTGGCACCACACTTTGCTCTTGGATACATGTCTGAATTAATTTGTTCAGATGTTGTTAACATCTGTGCGCTTTGGGTATTGGACTTTTCATTGTGCTGGGCCCTTTGTCTTCCTACCATGGTTGAATGAAAGGATGCTGTCTGTTTATGTTCCTTAAGACATCTGAAGACTGTAATTTTTTTTTTTTTCAATTTTATTACAATGAAAACATTGTCAAGGGACACTGTTGGCTTTCTTTTTAATGGTAGTTATCAGGAGGAATGGCTACAAGGTTAAAGAGCTGTGCCACATGGCGAACCAGCTTCTTGTTGCCCAGGAGCATCTCCTTTGTTGTCTGTGGATTATAGTTCTGAGATTGTTAAATTCTGTAGCAGTGTATCTGTGTTTTACAGATCTTCTGTGCTGTGAGTTACTCCCTGCTCCTGATAAAAGGAAGGGGGTGAAACCAGTATTATTACTGATAATATCGTGCCTTGAAATGTCTGCTTTCTAGTTGATAAAATACATGAAAATACTGATCAACGATTGATACTGTGATGCTTTGAAAGGTGCTACAAAAGATATCTGTGAGGTTCAGATCCTAGATAGCTGTGTATCAGGAATGTTCAAAACATCACTATAGTCGTTTGGAGATGTGTTTTTAACATCCACATATATCTCTCTGATACTGTTGGTTGTGGCAGAACGTGAATGAAAATGCAATAGCTTTGCCCAAATCACTTGATGTATGGACCCTTATTTAAGACTAAAAGCATCTTAACACCTTGTTCAAGTTTGGTAAGTTACATAGGTAGTATTCAGTTAAGTAATATGGAGAAATAAATCCTTATTCCAGAGTGGAGAAGAATGCCCGTATATCAATGTAAACTCTCCTAAAAGCAGTCTATTGGGTAAAATAAAACCAAATTAAATTACACTGAAAATTTAGTCTCTAAAGTAATTCTTTCTCTTTTGTTTTCCAGTATAAGTATAGAGACCTAACTGTACAGGAGACGACCAGTGTTATTACTCAGTACAAGGACCTCAAACCTGTCATGGATTCATATGGTTAGTCTGTGCATGAGAAAATTGTTGATGGTTTAGATATATTTGGAAGTTTTTGTGGGGGGAAAAAGGAGATTAAAACTAGAAAACATAATTTGAGTTTCTCTTCTTGATCTTTGACACCAATACTTCCTTAGAAACACACAGTTATTTTCTAAAATAACCTTTCTATGTTACTGAGTCTATCTAACCTGCCAAGAAGCGTTGGCATTTTTCACAGCTTAACTCTTAGTTAATTGCTCAGTGATGTCATATCAGCTGGTGTCCTGAGATTGCTGGTATCTTACAAATTCAGCTTTGCTCTCATATAAAGATATTATTAGAGTTCTATTTAGAAAGAACTGTAAATCAATGAACAAATACATAATTGAAAGTAATTGTGGCAGTCCTTAAGAGTACAAGAAAACATAGCCAAGTAGATAGAAAATGGGGATGAGGAGGTTTGTATTTGTAAATTAACGATGACAGTCACTGTTTGTTAGCTATTTTAAAGGCTCTGACTAAATTTGAGTGCATTAAATGACGATGATCTCTAGGATCAGCTCCAGAGGCTGAGGGCATGGTTTCACAAGATACAGTGAGCCAGCATAGCTGCTGAGGTCATCCTCCTTCTGATCACCTTTTTTTAACCGTCACCTGTGGGATTCCTCTGTTAGCTAATTTATATTACTAATACTTCATCAGAGACTTTATAGTCTTCTGCTTTCTAAATTCTAAATCTGGATTGAGAAGTATTAAGAAGGGACATGGACAGGTAAAAGATAAATTAGTTTTAACTTGAATAGCTGCAAGCCAGCAGCTGTCACAGAAATAAAAATTCATCCTGTGACTGGAGAATCAAAAACAATAGTGAAGGGGCTGTGGTTGGAATAGCAAGTTTGCATAACAGTAGTGATTAGAATTCCAGATAGCTTCCAGCTGTGGCAAGAAGCCCATTTGTGTTACTTAACTCTTTCTAAGCTGCCTCAGAAAGGCTGAGCGCAGAACCACTTATAGATAATTTATACTATTCAGAGCAGTGAAATGAGCCACAAGAAAATGGTTACATTGCTGTTGAGATAATTTTCAAGTTTATATTAATAATGAAATATATAACCCCCCCCCCATTTAAGTCCCAACATGTTCTACCTGCCTTTGCAGAATATTAGCACCAAAAGAATTGTACACGATAAGCTATGTTTGAAGTATGACAAGAAACTTTCAGGTGAAATTAGGAAAATAAAAGCTTTGTTACCAGAAGTTGATTTATTCAGCCAAGAATAACCTATTGGATTGGAAGGGTGAGAAAACTAAATACAGCAACTCAGTAAATTGAGGTCAGGGTTCCCGTGCAGTTTGTGAACTAAGACTAAGATGTGGCAGTGAGTCAAGTGCTACGCATTTCTCCCTCTTCAGTGTGTTATTGTTTGGTTAAATTACCTTTACTGACTATGTAATAAATGCCTGTGGCCCAGTAATTTTCCATATTCTTGCTGACCTGTTTGTTTGGAGAAAGCATAAGGAATTCTTTGTAATTCTAAAATGACAGTTGTTTTTTAAATTAAGTTTGAGTTCAGATTATCTTTGCAGCAATTTGTATGATTTGCAGTTTGTATGGTTCCAACGTGTTTTAATTGGTCTCTGAATGAGGAAACAGTTTCATTTGCATGAAGGTAGTTTGACAATAATTAGTCATCCATTTCTCAGAAATGTTATTCATAAGAAGTTGACTGTAGACAATCATTTGTTAGTCTAAAATGTGCAAGAGCAGAACCTTTCAAGCTGAGATTATATATGTGTAACATCTGAAAACTGATGCTAATAAATAGATGGGGTATAACCTGAACAGAAATTAATGTAGCAAATATGGGTTTTTTAAAAATACTGTTCGTTCTCTTTCAGTTTTTAATGATGGCTCATCTAGGGAGTTGATGAGCCTCAGTGGAACCATTCCTGTGCCTTACAGAGGTATGCGGTTTTTATTATTATCATCACCACCACCATTATTTTCCCAAATCACATGAAAAACTGTTTAGATTTGTCCTGGTTCAACTTCACTGCTTCGGTGATCACTCTTTTCTTGAAATCCTTTACTTGTCCAAAGTATAATGTTTTAAAGAAATAGTTCCCTACTTTTGCTGTGGAATAAAATTTTAATGTTGAGCGTTGCTTCTTCAGTCTTGTACAGCTCTGTAACGTCTGTTTTCTTTCAGTACTGCACATTTTTCAAGCCTCTCGAATGAGGGTTGCAAACCATTTATTGCTGCAGCTAATGATAATTCAGATTAGGGTCTAGTAATGTTGCATTGTAGAACAAACAAGATAATGGCAAATGATAATTGTAAATCAAAGTTAAATTGATCTGAAAAATGTTGAGTTCATAGCCACATTGTGAACTCTTTGTTGAATGTTATTAGTAGATTTTGGCTTCGGATTCTGACTCCATGCAGTTGCATTTGCTGTGTTTAGGAGTTTTTTATAAATCAGGATACAAGACAACAGCTAGCGAGTTGGAGTAACATTTAAAATCTTTCAAAATATCTTTTCTAGGTAACACATACAATATCCCAATTTGCTTGTGGCTGCTGGACACCTACCCTTTCAACCCCCCAATTTGTTTTGTTAAACCTACTAGCTCTATGACAATAAAAACTGGGAAGCATGTTGATGCAAATGGAAAGATATACCTTCCTTATCTGCATGAGTGGAAATATGTAAGTATAGGAAACTTGAAACCCTCAAATTGCTCAGTTCTGAATTCCTTTAGATAGTTGTATCATTTTTAACAAAAACTGTAATCCTCTTTATTTGGGATCTTAAACCATTTTTTTAATTAAAACAGCTGCTTATTATTTGTAATGTCTTAAAGTTCAGGATGTTGCATTCTGTTGCCTGGTTAATTGCGTCTTTAGTTAACAGTTTGTCTGATTAAACAGTGCAGCATAGGCAGCCTTCCCTGGCAGTACACTGACATGAAGATCTGTGAGAAAAGAATATTTACGGAAGGGAAATTATAAAGTATGTGAAACATCTCTAGGCTGAAATTAATCTCTGTGACTAAAATGGACTTGTATGCACACTTGGACTTCTTTATGTAGAGACATTGCTGGAGCTTCGCATATGTGGATATATTTGCTTTACCAATAAATACAGGCATTGAGCAGTGCAGGCCTCATAGAAGTTTTGACCAAAGCAAGGACTTGTAAAGAAGGTAAACTGTGCTTTTTAAGGTCAGAAGAATGGTACAAGATGCATAGTTCTGTAAAAAGTGATGAACAGGAATAAATTTATTAAGCATGGGTGGTAGTTCACCACTTGCATGGCAATAATGGAAAATGATTGCCCAGATCAGGATGTAGGTCTTGCACAAGCAAGAGGATCATCTAAGATAGAGGTGATACAGAATTCATTCAGTTTGAGAGGTTGGTAAAAATAAGTAAGTGGATTGTAGAGCTAAGAAAATTGGAAATAGGATATTTAATCGGGTGCTGCATTCATGATGCTTGACCTTATTTTGGTGAAATGAAATCATGTCTATATAAACTGTAGTTATAAACTGAGAAGCTAAACTAAACATAGTTGAGCTATATTTAAAGGAGGTTTGTGCTACTCCTCAGTGGGTTAATATATTTTTTTCTCTTGAGCCATTCTGAACCTGAGCAAACGCTATATGCTGTATAAAATTGAAATGTCTGAAAACTTAGTGATCTGTACTTTTTTCATGTTGGAGAGTGGATTTAAATTTTACAAAATTATAATCCATCATTGCACAGTCATCTTCAGTCATTTATTGCCCTGCAATTGATATGGAACCATGTATTACCCAGTTTATTCTGAGTGTAAACACTACTGTATTTTGCTATACCGTTTTGAATAGCATCTGCCTAGGTTCGGAATCTGTAAAGAAGTCCATAAAGGAAGTTAAATAAGCACACATATATATGTGTATATATAAAAATATAAAAAAACCACAAATAAAAGGATGGCTTTTGAGAGCCGATGGATTGGTACCATTTTGTTATTGCAGTCAGTTAAACTGTCTGTTAACAAAATCAACAACTTGTGATTTGCTTACCCTCACAGCCCAAGTCAGACTTGCTAGAACTGATTCAGGTCATGATTGTTGTGTTTGGTGAGGAACCTCCAGTCTTTTCTCGGCCTACTGCTTCGTCAAGCTACCCACCATACCAGGCAACTGGCCCACCAACTAGTAAGTGGTCATGGCTACTAATTTCTGCAAATAATCACCTTAATCATAGAATCATAGAATCGTTTAGGTTGGAAAAGACCTTTAAGATCATCCAGTCCAACCATTAACCTAACATTACCAAGTCCACCACTAAACCAATTAAAGGTAGAGTAGCAATTTCATGTTTCCTGGCTTGGCAGCTGGATTATTTATAATGAAAGTAAAAACTAGGAATCATTAAGGTTGGAAAGGATCTCTAAGATCATCAGTCTGATCATCAACCCAACACCACCATGCCCACTAAACCATGTCCCATATTCCAAGGCGAATTGTTGCTCTGCGCAATTTGTCATCAAATGATGTAGTCTACTCTAGAATGACTTTCTATGTTGCTGGCTAATGAATACACCTGTGCTGTACTTGACCTTTTTGAACAACATAGTTGTTAGGAAGAATGTGTAGGTTTTTTTGACTTTTAGAAGGGATGGAAAAAACAAGTTTGTATTTAAAAAAACAAACAAACAAAAAACTCCACAGACACACACCCCCAAGCCCCTCAAAACAAGCAATAACCTGTCGATATTCAGAGATAACCTTAAAAAGAGCTTATTCAGATAACTGTATCTTAATTTTTTTTTTTTTAATTCTGACAATACAAGTCCATCTGGTAAGTTTCCTGCAACCATTGATTTAATAGGCCAAAGCATACTGCTTGTGTTTTTTATGCCCACACTCCTGTTTTGTTTTTTGGGTTTTTATTTTTTAATAATTGCTGGCTGAATATGAAAAAAACCTGCCTTGTGGTTTTTCATTCTTCTATGTTGATTTGGTACTCTGACTTAGTATTTATTCTTATTTTCTTGCAAAAATTCGCAAGAATTTTTGAAGTCTTTTATTTATTTAAACTTCTGGAGGCATCTTATTTTAAAGACTGGGGACAGGTGGGTGGGGGAAAAAGGGGAAGTGGGAAACAGAAAATCCTAGAAATTCTTCCAAAAGGAGACTCTGCTTTGGGTGGAAAAAAAAAAAACCCAGCAGAGTAGACATACTCAAGCCAAAGACTGGGGCAGGAGGGGGAGCAGATTAGCTGTAGCTTGTTTAATGATACTGTCACAGTTCTACATTAATTTAATGGTAGAGTAGCTGTATTTGGAGTTATATATTTTTGCTGTATTTTTAAGGCTGTGTATGTTTTCTATTGAAAGACAGCTTTTATCAGATCATAGTGTTACATCTGAAAAGCTGAAGTACTATTCATTACAGTTTCCAGCAGAAACCATTTTTAATAAGGTCTTAGGTTCTTAACACATGAGAAAAGGGGTAGCAAACAGAAACAGGACCATTAGAGATAGCTTGCTAAAGCTAAGTGTTTGGGACTTTTTAGGTTGTCCAGTGCTAGCCTGCCTATAAGGCCACTAGATGAGTCTGCTGTTCTGATTTTCCAAGAACAGTGGGTGTCAGTACAAGTACAGTTTTAGGAGAGACTGTGACCTGTATTGGGTTTTAAGGAAGGACCATCAATTGACACACACTTGATTACTCTTGCTGTCACTCAGTGCCAGCACAGCTGAAGTAACTTTAGTGGAAATGTTTCAGGATTTTCACATTGTTAATAGCTACTTAGTTTTACTAGTGTAGTCAGTTTTTCCTTATTTTACAGACATTTAGGTTTGGGGTTTTTTTAAGTTCTAGATACACTGTTTAAGAAGAAATTAAGCCCTTCTTAAAAAAACTGAATCATTTGAAAGCATTCAAGGATGAAAATAGCTCATCTCTTTGGAAAAAAAAAAAAGCTATTTGCTGTAATATTCCTAAAATTACTAGAAATGTGGAATAAATATATTCAAAACAATTTTTATAATAGAATTGTCATATTTCCAAGAAGAAACTTAAAATTGCTAGGACTGTTAAAGCCTTAGACATTTATATGTGTTGATAAAATTTTTTTAAAGTATAACTTCTAAATGGCAGAAATTACTGGATAAGAACATGATTGGACTGTTAAACAGCTAATCAACTGTTGTGAAATCTGGCTACTCTGAAGGTATTTAAATGATATACTCATTATTTAGTGAGTAGAGAACAATGGCTACGTTGGAAAGGTTATTTTCTTTTTTCAACTATTATATAAAACATGGGGACAGCTCTTCATGTGTGTCATCTTTGATAACATGCCATTGTTTTGAGTTCCCTAGCTGCAGATACTTTTTCTTCTGTATCCACATTTTACTTACAGCTACTTGTTGTGGATTTTAAAATTGACATCCATTTTTATCATGCAGTGGTTAGTTCAAAGTAATAACTAAGAAAAAACCAAATACACAGTGAAAGGTGTTCGAGCCAATTGTTCTAAGGAATGCGTAATTGACTTCAATTACTGTTCTCATGATCTCCCTCAGAACAAAATACTCTTGAAAATGTTTTCATCAAAGTTGATAGGTAGATGTAGAGTCTTCAGAAATGCAGAATTTGGCGGCGTTTTGTGAAAATGGGCTTGGATACAGAAGGGAAGTTCTAGCTGGTCAATACATGGAGGGATGATCTGCTGCCGTTTAGTCCTTTACGTGTTTTGAGGGGGAAAACCTGCCTTGGTCTGTTGGCACAGAGATCGCTTGCAACAAACATCTGCACGTATCCCTCCTGCCAAGCTGCGCAAGAGCAGCATGGGAAGCGTCTGAGAGTGTTGTGAGAAGTGATGGTGTTAGGGGATGCAGGGTACACGCTGTTGAGGGGCTTTGGCCGTAGAATAACTTCTCTTACTCTTGTTGTTTCATTGTGTTATACTGTATTCATTGTTCAATAATATTTCGAAAAGCATCTTAACTGCAGCATAGGTACATTTCACTAGTGTGATCTTAATATATATTAAACTTCTGAAAAGTAAAAATACACAAAATCATTATTTTATTTAGCTTCCTATGTGCCAGGCATCCCAGGTGGAATATCTACCTATCCAGCAGGAAGCACACCAAACCCGAGGTAAGAACCCCTTTAAGCCATCATCATTTACATAATAGACAGTTTCACTGAATAGTATCTAGTCTTAGTTATATTTTCTTATGGTATATTTGTTGTATAATTATCATGTTAGCAGTCTTTTTTAAAAGTGAGGACTGAATTCTTGTCAATAGCCAAAAGAAAAGTTTGAGAAAGGTTTCACTTTCTTAGTGTTGCTTGCTTCAAATACAGTATACTTGGGTGATAATTATATTTTGAAAATTGGTACCTAACTCCCAGATGTTATCTTGCTTCACTCATATATCGGATTAGTTTTTATAAGGTTGGTATGTTTACGTGATACAGAAAGAAGTGTACTCCTACACGTTGGGCTTTTTTATTAGCATTGTTAGTATTGTTTGGGGTAACGAGCAACTCAAAACATTGAACAAAACAGTTACTGGATTAATATAAACCTTGACTCCAGCATAAATGTGGGCTTAATTCAGAGCCCTCTAAGAGAATTTGAAGGGCACAAAATTATTTTAAAAGCTTTTTATTAATATAAAACAAGACTTTTTCTTTAAGTATATAGTTTGGAATAAAGCTTTTCCAGAAGACTTGCAGTTCTGTCTTAGCAATAGTAAGATGCTGATCGCTGCCTCCTAGTGTGTACCTACATTTTTTCACATCCTAATTAATTCTTTTTATTAATATCCTTATGGCATGATTTTGTCTTAGGAGCATATGAGGACTTGCTGTAGTATGTACTGTTTTGACTTAAAAAAAAAAATTAAAACCCTGTAAGCATTAGGAAGGTGGGGTGTTATGTTTTAAGAAGTGAAAAATGGGGATTTTGGTAAGTTATGGCAATTTTTTTCCTCCTAAATACGCTTATTTAAAGTGTTCTTAATGTTTGTACAAAAATGAATAATAGAAGAACTATTTTAAAAATAATATAACATGAATCAACAGAAAGGTTTTAAGAACTATTACATTTGCAATTATCTGGAGAGGCACAGAATATGCTTATTTTATATTTTACATGTTTTCTTGGTCCATTTTGTTTACTTATAGCCATGGTTAATACTCTGCTGTATGCAGGTGTTTGTCAGTCTAGTACTGACTAAACTGAGTTCTTATTTCAGTTGATAGTAAATGTATTTTAGAAAGGTATTGTAGACTGTCATGTTATGTGTCATCTCACAATTGTTTCAGTGAGCAAATGAATACTTTTGCTTTTCTTCATCTTTTAGAGCAGGGCTGAGAATTTGTGGAGGAGTTCCATCTTGCAACCATATTTTGCACAATATTTTTAGGTTTACATAAAGTGGTTGAGCAGTCATCTTGTTAACTATTCTCATATTAAGAATTATTAAATTGAAATTGCTGTTTGTGAGTTTGTAGCTAGAAAAATTTCTTTTGGATACTTTTGGGTTTTCATATGGCAAGTTAGAAATTGCATGGCAAGATTAAGAGATTGAAGAGAATTTGGAATGATCCAAGTGCTTGACCAGACAATAACTAGATAGGGTTTCAGGTAAAATGGTATCTTCTTAAAACATACCAGAAATATAAATTGTGAAAGATGTTAATGTGAACAGGAAAAGAGAAGAAGTATAACTTGGCCTGCAATTTAAACATTTTATTATGTAAACAAATGTTCAACATGGTGACATAAAGATAACATACATGGATGATATTTTACAAATAGTTACATAACAGTAGTATATCTTTCTTTATCAAAGCAGCTACCCAAACTATGCTTATCCAGGTGGTGTTCCATTTCCAGCAACCACTAGTGTTCAGTACTACCCTTCTCAGCCTCCTGTGACTACTATTGGTGAGTAGCTTTGAAAGGATTTCTCTGAACTGAAGCTTCCCTGTGTAACTGATATGTAAAGAAAGAAAATGGAAAATGAAATGTATTGATCTTAACCTGACCTTCCAAATTACTGATCTTCAGTTAGAAAAGTTATTCAAAGGAAGAATAAAATACATTTTATGTCCTTCGACTTATGTTTTATTCAGTCTGGAACTTCATAAATTCCTGGGTTTCTGCAGTGCATTGTGTGTGCTCTGTGAATATTTTGAAGAACGCTGTGTGTAACTACCTTAAGTTTCTTTCTCACCCTTTAACTGTAGGTGACTTTTGATTGTCTGCGTTGCTCTGTTTGCAGTTTATAAAAATGCTTTTGTCCTCATTTAATCATCTACTGGATTCACTTTATTTACTCTTTATTTATACTTTCTTTACTCCAAAAGTCATAGCTATCTAAAGCAGAGGTTTGGAATAAGCTTAATTTTCACTGAGTTTCTTCTCCAGCCTCTTCACTGTTACTTCTTAATGGTCCCTACTTGTTACTTCTTTCTTCCCTTCAGCAGCAAGATCTAGGGTATTAGCATGTATCATTTTCCCAGTGTGCTGCACCATGGCCCTGTGCTGGCAAAATACGGTAGCTTGGTTTCCGCTCTGCACCTCACTTTTAGTGTATGTGTAACAGATTGGGAACCAGTTAAGTAAGAAGTTGGTGCGATAACTTTCCAATTGGATGACAGTCCTTTTGGAGTAGTTATATGGTAAGGACATAGATTCTTTTGTGATCTTGTTCAGACTATCAATCATTTGTAGTCTCTTGCACCATAACTTGAAAGTGCATCTATAGGGTCTTCATTTAATGTGTTAACTCCCAGTTATTTATACACAGTCTTCCTTCCAGAACTGTGTGTATTTTGAAATTTTCATTCACACAGATGGGGACAAAGCAAGTTCACAGCTTGGCAAAAGAAGATAGATGTTTCTACTTCACCCTTAAAATATTTGAGGAGTTGTTCTGTTGTCACAGAATTTGGAAACAACAATAAGTTGTATGCTATATTCTTCTTGTGCCTGATCCCATCCTTTGTGTCCACTTTCTTTCAGCCTTCTGAACTAGAAGAGTCTTTTCTGAAAGTTGTTGGCTGTTTCAGTGGTCATCTCCTCTCTGAGGTGACGTGTGCCTACCATGCACACTTCAAGAAAGCCGCTGTCCCACTTAAGTAGCTTAAACAGTACTCCATGTTTGGGGGCTGTAGTTGGGTCCTTGAGAATTGGTGGTCTCCACTGGCTCTCATGTAGGGAGGTGATAAGAACCTTATGAGGGAACATCAGCTTTCTGCAGTATCTTTCTCAAACAGATCCGGTTTTGCTTTTATGTAGTAGAGAGTTAATTTAAAATATAGATACGTCCTATTCCATTTCTTTCCCTCATTTTCATCCTCAGTGAAGATGAACAGAGGTGGAATATCTGCAAATATCATAGAAAGCTCTTCAAGTCCTGAGTTAGATCATCTGATACCACATTGTAATGCCAGATTTTGTAGTGGCAATTTAACATTCATGTGATGCAGCTAGGTAAAAGTCATACACCTGTTATACATGGTTTATCTCTTGTGCCAAATTAAATGCAAACATGTCTCTTTAATCATCCACTGCATTTACAGTACTGTTTGGGTTTTTTACAGTCCAGTATTGTTTTTTTTCTTCAACTGCAAATGTTTATTTCCTCTACAGATTGTTTGGCTAAGGTTTATTGTGATAGTTTATCTAGGAGCATATCAGGTGCTACAACTTTAGAGTTTTGTGTGGGTGGTGGTGGAGTGTTTCCTATAGTGAGCTTAGTTTGAATTGAATGAAAATACTCATTCAGAGTAACTTAAGTTTTTAATAATAGCTGGTTTTTCAAACAGTCCTTCAGGCTTTTTCTTTCTGTTCAATCATGTGCCATTAATTACCTTTCTGATGCAGTTACTACTTTGATGATTCTGTAAGGTCACTTCTGAAACCAGACTCTGCCTGGTAAAGGTTAAGGGTTTCAGTGCTCTGTGGATTTAATGGCTATGTGCCATAAAATCTTCCCCAAGCTGGGCTAATTATGGAAGTGACAGAAAATGCTAAGGGTTCATGCTCTTTAAGAAGATACGTAAAATCTGATTGAGCTGTATTAAAATGATCCTTTATAAGTTCAAAGACCCCTTGCCTATCTGTTGGCACTTCTATGTGAACTTTCATTGTGTTAGGTGTATTGTGATTTTATTTCTTTTTTTTCTCTGTCCTACTTTACTGTTCAAGTGAGCCTTGTACGAAATCTCCCAGAGTGGGGGAAGAACTGATGGCTGGTTCTGACTTTGTGTTAGAGAATAATTCATTAAGTAAAGTAAACAGTAACTGAAATCATGCTAATGCTATTCTTGAAGTGAAATTGGACCTTTTTGTTTCAATTTGGAACATGTATATTTACAATTGTCTGCCTTAAACAGGAAGTCCTAAACAGTGAATAAACTCTTTGTCCCAGATAGTTTGACTGACTTGGTTTAAGTTTTACTTCTCAGCGTAGAAAGTACTGTTCTTTTCTGCTTTTCATAAGAATCAGCAATGATGAGTTCCTAGGTTTGTGTGTATGGTGCCATTTGCCAGCTTCTGTTGCTGATTCTAATAGATAGTTAACCAAATATTGAAAATTATCTTACTGACTGGCAAGAGGGTGAATTTCTTAAGCCAGAACTGTAAATCAGATCAAGTGTTGGGACATCTATATTTTCATAAGGCTGTCTTTGTACCAGTTGATTAATAAGTCAATCTCTTTTTTTGCAATAGTAATTAGCTTATTTTTAAAACAATTACATATATTCTGGTGCAATTTGTATGTAAGTAAAGTGCTCACATTAGTAATTATCAAAATCTGATGCTTTCTTAATTTTAGAAGAACTTGGTGGTTTAGTAAGCATGATGTGCATCTTCCCATAGTTCTTCTCGTGTCATTTGCATAGCTTTATTTTTCCAGGTATTTGGCTTGGTGTAGGTTTTGTGGACAAGAGTAGAGTAAAAGGCATAGGGAAAAGAGATGAATTTATGCTATCTTGTTCTGTTAGCAGCAGAAGTCAAAAAAATCCTCTGTATGTTTTAAGGATTCTAAGTCTTGTCAACAACAGTTTGCATTTGTTAGTCTAACAATACCAACAGACACTCCAAATACAAGAATTAGTAGTAGTGGTAGTATTATGAGACCCTAACAGAAAATTGTTAATTTTTCTATTCAGATGCTTGTTTCTAAAGGCAGAGTTTAGATTTTTAAACTGTGTTCTGGATTGTTGCTGATTATCAGGAAGATATCCAACCTACCCCAAGAACACTGTAATGCTGAATTTTCACTAAACAGCCCACCCTTTTCCTGAATAACTGTAGCAAAATTATTGTAATCTTATTTCTGGCTAATAGAAGTTTAGTTATTGAGTACTATCAATAACTTATTAAAAATATATTTATCACTGTTTATCTTAGTGTAATTTACCCTAAAAATACAAAATTTTTAATTACTGTGTTTAAATGGCAAAATTAATGTACGGTTTGAGTTGCTTGTTTGCTTCTGCTTCTTCTTGAGGGCCTGTGATTATTAAGAAAGGTGAAGAGGTTGATTGGATTTCAGCTGGCTCGAGACACTTTTCTGAACCTTTGGGAAGGAAAAATGAAAGATGTGCTAATGGTTTTGTCTTTAGCTATGTAAGATTCATGGGGGCCTTGATGAGTATTTTTTCACATTGTAATTTTTTGATGTCTAGGGTACTGGGAAATACAAGGTACCTAATGCCGTAACAACTTAGAATCGTAGAATCGTTTAGGTTGGAAAAGACCTTTAAGATCATCCAGTCCAACCATTAACCTACACTACCAAGTCCACACTAAACCTCAGGGTTTTGATAACTCTGTCTCTGGATAAAAAGATACTCTGGTAAAATTTCTTTTTGCAAATTTTCTTTCCAGTTACAGAACTTCAAAACTCTCTACATTTCATCCATAAAAATTGGAAAGTTTAGGCACAAAACCTGCTGTAATTCTTGCATTATTAGTAGTTGTTACAATCCAGTTGGAATTTCACTGATCAAAAAGGTGTGAGGCATAAGCATGGGGAAAATGTGACACTCCAGTTTTTCTGCATAGAAAAATGGTTGACGTGGTTTGTGATAAATACAGATACAATTCTGCAACCAGTAGCCACTCTACATTCTCTAGAGCTATCTGAGTTTCCTGGTCTGCAGATATCCAGCACTTCCTGTGACAGACACAAAGGATTTGCCTTTCTATTTAAAAAGGTGTTAGTGACAGACTCTTGAAATTAGGTAATCTCATTGAAAGGCTGATTTGCAAAAGCAATAGTAATATTCAGGCTTAAATGTGAAAGCCTCTAGGGCTTCAAAGGGAGAGGGACTAATGAAATACATTAGAGAATTTATTTTCTTATATTATGTTTTCTAGTATTGCTGCATCAAAATGTGATTTAATAAACTGAAATTACAAGTTGTACCTAGCAATCAAAACAGTCAAAAAAGGTAGTAATCTCAGTTGTTGTAACTCAGTTTTGTAGCAGCCTCTGCTGCTGTTTAACTGTAATATTGATCATTTATAGAAGCAGGTTATATAATACTAGAACAATATTGGTTAGTAGTTTGTTTCACTACTACTAAAATCACTACCCTGAGTTTCTGGGCGTGATGGACCAAGTGAAACTGGCAAACTAATATACCTGCAATCAAATTGTATGTCATCATCTTTGTCTTACACTTACCTAAAATACCTATGCTTGCTTTTGTTAGAATCAAACTGTATAATTAATTCCACAGAACCTCTGTATGCTTGACTAATACTCTTTATTCAACTAACAGTAAAGAAGTATTTTATCCAGAGAGAAGTTTTACAGGTTCTTCATGGTTGCCATTACCTAATTTTATAAACCATGCTCCTCCCCAGCCCACTCCAATTACAGTACCATCCTGCACGAGTTTAAAAAAAGAAATGGTAGGCTGGGCCCAGTGTAACACTGAACATGTATCTAAAAGACTGCCATCTGAAAAAAGTCTGCGAGAACATACCTATAAACCATATGCTAATACGGTTGTTTAGCATTTCTCTCTCTGCTTTATAATCTTTTAATAAATGTTGCTTGTTACAAGTAAGATTACCTCAATAACAAATGTTCTATATTAATGCTGATTGTTTCACTGCCCTCCCATACTGCCCTAGGATGGCTGAATGATAATAGTTGTAAAACCAGTTGGAAAGACTAGATCATATTGTAGCTTTTTAATCACTTGATACTGTCCAGTAATTCATCACTTAGACCCAGCTATTAGATCTTCATAAATACAAAAGGGCAGCAGTTAAGATCATCTTCATTGAAATTATTTTTGTTAGCTTAGTGTTCATTTATTTTTATTAATCTTAAAAAAAAAAAAAACACCACCAACCCAACAAAAAAACATCAAAACAAGAACCAAACCAGTAATTGGCAAGCCTCAAGACAGCGTACCTATGGCAAATTCACTGTCTCAAGCCAGCCGTTACATTAATTGTGGAATTAATGGATAATGCATTCAACCTATAGAGTTTACCAGAAATTTGTTCTTTTTTTAAAGAATCAGACTAACAACACTTGTAGAGTTCAGGGGAAAGAGCCAGCCCATTTTTAAATTAAAGAAGATTGTGGATATGGGAATGGTAAAGTGAATGGATACGTACTTTTAAATTTTACTTGTGTTTTATTGTACTGTGGTCTTTTCACTGCTTCTGAAAATTATTATGGAAAACAGTTTCTTTTACTGTCTCATATTGCTAAAGCACATACAGCAAGTTAGCCACTTTTTTTTCAGACTGGCTTTATACTGAAGCCAGTGCACAGCAGAGTTAATTTTATGCTTGTGAATTTTCTTGTGCAGGACCCAGCAGAGATGGAACTATCAGTGAGGATACCATTCGAGCTTCCCTTATTTCAGCAGTCAGTGATAAACTGAGATGGCGGATGAAAGAAGAAATGGATCGTGCACAAGCTGAACTCAATGCCTTGAAACGGACAGAAGAGGACCTGAAGAAAGGACACCAGAAACTGGAAGAGATGGTAACTCGCCTGGATCAAGAAGTGGTAAGCAGAGATAAAACACTTCTCTGTATCTGAGTGTTCCTGGTAGCGAACGGAAGCATATAACTAATTCATTATTAAGCACAATAGAAATATCAAAGCTTCCAGTGTATTGCTTTTTAAATATATATATATTCTCTTTCCAAATTGAGGTGCATGTGTTCAGACTGAAGCAAGTCAGAAATAGCAGTGACCGTAAGATGCATTGTCCTGCATGTATCTTACAAATGTAATTGTTCAGTTAGTAGAGGAACAGTGTTATTTTTCTCCATCCTCCCTGTGAAAGATGTCAGTGCTGTGGGATTATTTCATAATTGTGTCTCAGTTTCTGGATAATAATGTGTAACAGCAGCACCAGAGAACATTTCAGTGTCTTAGTGCAGAGACACTGATTTAATCACGGCTGCCTTGTATAACCTGCAGACTTTTCCTTTCACAGACAGGAGTCTTTCCTACTCAGTATGCTCAGAAATTTCTGCAGTTTTTCATCAAGGCCTGACATCATCTGCTTAGTCCGTCTGCTCCTGGCATTACTGCTCAGGAGTAAGATGTGCCCGTTTTAAATGTAGTGTGTAATTCTAGTCTTTCCTATCTTGGAAAGAAAGGACATAATAGAACTGCAGATGTTTGATGCAAAGGCAAGAAGGACGATCCAGCATATCAGACAGCTTCCATGTGAGACGTGACCGAGTAAGCTAGGACTTCAGTCTGGAAAAAAAGACAGTGGGGACAGAGAGAGTGGAATATGATAATGGTCTGTACATCTTTGAGTGATATGAGGAAAAACACAGCGGTGTGCAGTCTTTTACAGTGTGTTAGCTGTGGGATATCAAAAATATCAGGAATAAAATTCAAAAGTAGCAAAAGGAGGTACTTCTCATACAGATGCAGTTAAATTATAGTTACCATTAGTGGGTAAAGCCAGCATGTTTTGTTTCCTGTCAATACAATTAAGTGTGTTGTGTGATCCATGCTCAGCAAACTTATCTAGGAACTTACTCCAAAAGACACATTTCCAAAGAAAATAATTATTTTGGCTTTGCTTTTATTATCTTTAGCTAGTTTAAATTATTATTTTTCCTTATGTGGCACCTTCAAAATACTTAAAGACTGTTAGCATGCCTTCTCTACAGTTATAAATTGGTAATGGATTGACATTATCTAAAACAGCCTTTACTTTTTTAAAATGAAAGAATGTGAAATCTATAGATTGGTAGCTCGCTCTTTTGTAAAAATCGTAATAGAGATGAGTAGAGAAGTAAAGAATCTACTGGCATGTCTAAAAATCTTTCATCTTGACAGTTGTATCACAAGAAGACATTCAGCTCTTGAGACCTAAGAAATAAACAAACATCTTAATTGTTTTTAGGCTGAAGTTGACAAGAACATTGAACTTCTCAAGAAGAAGGATGAGGAGCTCAGTTCTGCCTTAGAGAAAATGGAAAATCAGTCAGAAAATAATGACATAGATGAAGTTATTATTCCTACGGCACCGCTTTACAAGCAGATCCTGAACTTATACGCAGAGGAAAATGCAATTGAAGACACCATCTTTTATCTTGGGGAAGCACTGAGACGTGGAGTGATAGATCTAGATGTCTTTTTAAAGGTAAGCTTCTTGGGATGTTTTTAGGATGTGCATTTTAAATGTGTTTAAATACTTTGAACTCTTTTGTTCAGCTTATTGATGTTAGTGATTTCTTCACTGAAGAGGATCCTCTAAGCACATGAATACTTATATGTTGAAACATAAGTTTTAAAAGAGGAGTTTCAGAATTAAGATGAAAGACCAATTTTAAAAGCATTATAAATATGAAGTAATTTATCATTAGACAGGTGCAAGTGTCAACGTAAGCTTTCCATTGGGCTTGCATCCTTATTGTGGAGAAACTAACTTTAAAGGTGGTTGGGGTATTCAGACAGCTTTTCACTTGCACTCTATGGATGCCTCTGCTGAGGCAGCCAGTGGAGTGTTAGAATCATAGAGGGGAAAAAAAAAAAAGCCAGCTAGTTTTGCATCTCTAGCAGAGACCTTCTTAGACAATTTGTTCCCTTTCTTTGCTGTTCTTAATGCTGAAGGTTTTCATGTCTGATCTAATAACCTTCCTTTATTTTGAACTTATGCGCATGGTGATAGCACATGAAATAAAAACAGATCTGTTGTTATTTTGAAAATATCAAAAACAGTTTTTAACATGGAATAAAACTACACAAAATGTATATGTCAGAGTAATTAATGTTGCCATTGGACCTGGAAAAATGAGCGTGCAGAGGTTCTAACAGTCTGTACTGGGGCCACTGCCTGAGAACAGTTACCAGTCCTTCCTTTTTCTAACAGTTGAGGTTCCCCCCAAGTTACCACTTAAGCTTTGCTTTTAACATCCAGCATACAACGCGCTTTGTACAGACATATTATTTCCTTCTTATGGAGCTTGCTAGTTCTCTTTATGTGCTGTTAGAAGAACTGTTCTCTGCTCCATGGAAAGTGCATTAGTCTGACTTCACCTTGGAGTACATATATACTTCTTTTCTCTTTGACAAGAACATGTGCAGAGTTAAGAATTAAAATCACAAAAAATATACTATAGTGATTGCATTTGGTAGCCATCTGCAAGTCATTTTAAGGCAAGAAAATGCCATTTAGTAGACTAATGCATTTAGTGTTTCCAAAAAACTAACATCCTCTTTGGGTCATGGAATATGTCATGCTTTGAAAATTTGTATTGCAATATAATTAAGATTCTATCAAAACTTTCCCAGTAGCCAGCTGTTCTTATTCTTTCTTTCTGCAGCATGTACGTCTTCTGTCTCGCAAGCAGTTCCAGCTGAGGGCATTAATGCAGAAAGCAAGGAAGACTGCTGGACTCAGTGATCTCTACTAAATTCTCAGACTTTAACTGGGAAGTTAGATTTCCTTATGAAGCAGCCATTCTCTTGATATTTCTCTTAATCAGTAGGTGCCTACAGTAAGTTATTACATCATTCAAGTGTAAGATATTTTGAACCAATAATATATTTTCTTTTTGGTAAAGACTAGCTTTTATTAATGCAGTTTGTATGTCCTGTAATTTTGTGTTGGTGGTCTTACACTGAATAAAACTCGTTGCATACTTTCTTCCTCTACAGAACTGTGTATGATGCACTTTCTTTACAAACAGACCTGGCTTATGCAGTGTCAGCTTAACCATACTTTCACTTCTGAGATTTGGAAGACATTTCAGTGTCCTGAACCAGAAAAATTCACGCTTCAGTGTAACTCACTTCTGTTATGACCAGTGAAAGCTGGAAACTGAAAATTTCAAGGCCCTGCTGTTTGACATCCAAGGATTGTTTTCTTGAAGTGAGCTTAGTAACTGTTATGTTGACTTGCCTATTCTACCACCAGATCATGGTCATAGTGGAGGACTACACCTTCTGGTGCCTTAAGAAGCCTTGATGTGTATTGCATTTTTCCACTAGAAAATGCTAGGAAAAAGAAAGGCTGCTATGTTTGGTTTTGCACTACCTGCCAGGCAGAAAATGCTACACAGCAGAATGCCACAGGAAGCATGGGTTCTGGCTGTATTAGCTGGGACAGAGCTTGTGTTGACAAGCCTGATGGTTAAACACTGCTCTGCCTGCAAAAGAGGGTACGTTGTACAGAGGAGTGCTGTAGGGATTCATGGTGCAGCTCTTGTCACCTCTCAGCAGCATGCTGCTGTCCTCTTCCGTTTGCTTTTGTAATGGAGCAAAGCTAGCTTGAAAACCAGTGTGGCTGAAAACTGAGCATTTATCATAAGGCTTTTCAGGTTACCATTGCATCTGAAGAGATTGGAGTTCATGTTAAAAAGCTAGGTGAGACTTCACACAGTAAAATTGCAAGTCCTGTGGATCTCCTGAAAGCTTTGAAAAGGGCTTCATACCATCTTCCTGCCATCTGCATAAAACCCTACTGCTATGTGCTCTATTTCCAGGTGTGATTTTGGTCACATGGATAGAAGAGAAAGCGGTACAGTAGCTACAGCTTTTCCTGTGTTACCAAAGTTGCTTCACAAGCACTTTCAGCTTATTCTATAATACTTTGTTCTGAGAAGTATCACCAGCTGCAGTCCATACTAAAAATCTAACCTGGACTTTATCAGGTGATCTATTTCTGTGTCCTAATGTTAGAAAAAGCTAAGAATAAGACCTTTCCCTCTTCACTGTAATGAGGTATAATTTTAAAAATATTAATGACAGAAAAGATGGTTAATTCTTCCTTATCTAACTTACTCTGGGCTTTAGGAGTAACTTTGGTCATTGTTTCTATGCATAGCTGCTATTCTAGAGATGCTTTTCTGTGCTTAGCAGCAAGCTGACTCTTTATGGATGCAGAGAGATTTCTTCCTACAGGCATTTTTGTATGTACAGGTAAGGAAGATGCTTCCTTTGCTCCATTGTTTCTCCCCTCCCATAACATAGTATCAATAGAGCCCATTTCTTTGCCTTAAGATGGGAATCAAGTTTAACTTCTGATTATTTAAATACTGCTGTTTCTGTTTTTTCATTCCTACCTTGAGAGTGTTAGAAAGTTCACTACATTAAGTATCTGGAGCCTACAACAGAGTAGCTGCACACAAAACATTATTACACAGGTGAGGTTGGAGTTAGCATTACTGAAGAAATAGAATTGTTTGGTTTAGATGGGTGCGAGTGGAGCAGCATTTTGGAGACAAAAGAAAAACTAGGAGACAGAAATAACAGTTTGTGGTTTATTTGGTGTTGGAGCTGGTACTACAGTTGGACATCACTGTCTTGTTGCATACAGAAACCTTAACATTTTTTAAACATGCTCAGGAAACAAACTTACAACTAGGCTGACATAGTACACAAAAATAAGGTTCTCAAAAAAAAAGTATACACAGAAATTCCAAAGCAGTGTTAGGAAAATACATTTGGACCTACCAACAGTGAAATATTTAAGCTATTCAGCCAGCAGAGAAGGTTGGTCAATTGGCTTGACAATCCTTTAACTGCAAGAAAATAGTCTTTGGTTTCACATTATGTAATAATTAGTTACTTATTGTTCTGAACCAACATTAAACAAGATGAGGCAAAGGGTTTTCTAGGCAGTGCTGCTTTGAATGCTGATTTCTGTCACACCACTTCACTGTACAAGACTGAGTAGGTTATCTAGCTCTGGCTAAGAACATGGGTGTTCGAACAGGAAAAACCCTAGAACAGTTTCCTAATGCCATCTTCAGGAAAGTCGTTTGTTCAGATTTGAGCTTTTTGTGTGTTCTAGTTGAGATACATACATTGAAAGACTTGACCTACTTGGTAAGTGCAACGTAAGACAAACCACGAAACCCATTAAACCGCAGAGTGAACTGCTTGGGCAGATTTAAAACTGTAGTTCCTTCTGGATTCCCCAGAGCGTATCTGCACTCTTCCTTAATTTTTCCTCTTCCTCAGGTTTTAGGATCATCTTCACTACATCAGTGATGCCATTATTGCCCAGTACACAAGGAACACTTAGGAAGACATCTTCTTTTATTCCATGCATGCCCTGAAAAGTAGGTAAGGATGGTTAGGCTAGAATTCATGTACATCTATGTATTTTATAGAATGTCCTATCAGGAAAACTCAACTAAATTTAGTTGAAATTAAACTAGAAAGTTGTCACTGTTCTTCAGAATTCCCAAGGTTTTTAGTTCTCAGTAAGACAAAAGTTAGCAAAAAGGGGCTGCTCACCTTAACAATGGTAGAGATCGGGTGCACTCTTCTCAAATTCTTCATAATAGTTTCAGCTAGATCCGCCACAGAAAGGCCAATAGCCCATGATGTGTACCCCTTCAGTTTGATGACCTCATAGGCACTGCAGAGACAAAGTTGCTCATTAAAGGACAAGTACCATCAACTGAAATACTTGAAGTTTGTAGGAAGGGCTTTTGGAGGTGCCTTAATGTGGACACATCAGAAGCTTGACTTACTCGCTGACAGGACTGAAATGAACTCAGCAGTGAAGAATTCTGTTTGCATTTTATACTGCTCCCCACAGTTATACTGGAAATTTGGAAGTTAAAGCACTTCCCTAATTCAAAGTTCACTAACGATGAAAAATTAACTCTGCCAAATCTACATTACTCCTTAAAATACTATGTCAAGATCTATTATGTCTGCATCTTAACATTTGTTTTGGGCTACTATGGTATTTATGAAACCAGATATGGATACTGCAGTTCAGAGGTACTATAGCTCTTCATCATTTGTTCTTGTGTTAGGGGGTGGGGTGGGGTGTCCCATATTTACCTGTCCACCACCTGCTTATGGATCTCCGTCCAGTGTTCCTTGTCTGCAGCAGTTCCCAAGTCTGGATTAAGAGCCTTCAGGGAGACGCCAGCAACATTCACTCCACTCCAGACAGGTACTGAGAGTTGCACATAGATTAATTATCTCACAAGAAAACTTAGTTTTGTCCTCCTCAAATGAACAGTTAACTTAAGATCTAGTTGGATTAATGTGCAACACAGGTGTCACTATGATTTAGATATGACTTTAAATATATTATGACTTACGAGGCCAATCTAAATTGTGGGCTGAGAACCTACAAGCATACAAACATCTTTCTTTATGCATGATGTCACAATGTTTGAATATACCTTTATTAAAGCAAAAGACCTAGGCAACATGAACTAAAATGACAGTAACTCTGTATTTTGCAAAGGTTTCTCAAAATAATTTATTCTAAATGAGTCCTTCTGAGTGTCAGGAAGCAGACAGTACTGAGACAGTACTGCTCTGGTGCTGCTAGAGGAAGTACAGGTTAAGTAAGGAGAAAGCTGCTCTTTCTCCTGTCCTCTAGACTTGCCTCTGCACTTCAATTCCTGTATATAGTTCTTAAAGTAATCAAGAGACACCAGTAAAGACAACTGAGTGACTACCAGTAGCTCTAGTGCAGCTCTTTGGGAGTCCCTTGCAGAGAACTTTACCCTCTTGCTGCTTCAGTTTGGTTTTTTTTGGAGAGTTATGGGAACAACTTAGCCTAGAAATTCTTAGCCTCCTCAGGTTACAGTAATGACCTTTTCCAAGCGGAGTAACTCAGGTCAAATATAGATCATCTAGGGTTACCCTACACAGCAGAAGACTTAAAGCAGAACTTGTATTCTTAAGGTGCTGCAGTGCAAAGGCTTTTGAGCAATATTTTGCTGTAGCTTTTAGATAATGTTTCTTGCAAACAAACCATCAGAAAAAGTTGTGTGTAACAGCCAGCCAGATTTCACCCTTACCACTGGAATCTCCGTGCTCTCCAACAATCCATCCATGGCAGCTCAGAGGATGGATGCCCAGTCTTTCTCCCATGAGGTGGCGGAAACGGGCAGAGTCCAGGTTGCAGCCACTACCAATCACGCGGTGTTTAGGAAAGCCACTGATCTTCCAGGCCACATAGGTCAAAATATCCACTGTAAATAGAACAGGGAAAATAACAAGTGCCACTCACGAGCAGTGTGGTAACTAGGATCGTATCTTCCATTCATCTGTAAGGGTTTTATCTGCACACTAGTTATGTGGAATAGAGCATAAAGTAATGCCCATCGCCAGGCCCTGCAGTGGGCTAACATAATGACTGCTTTAAAGGCAGAACTGAGAGGCTGTTTATGCTACACATGCAATTATCAGTGCCCCTTACTGTGTCCTACGCTAAATACCACTTTAAGGGCAACTGTGAAGACCCAAGTTGGAGGCAACTTGGTTTATTTTTCAGAGGACCAGCTTACTGAGTGCTGAGAGGGAAGATGGCACTTCTTGCTATGTGGTTATGTGGCATAAGTATTTTCTAAAAGCCTATGCTTGGTCATATTAGTATACTAATGCCACCTTACTTTCTTACTGAAGAAAGCACTATTCTCTAAGCTAAATCCTCTTGTTAAGGCAACACAAGACAAACCTGGGTTTGAGACAATAAGCAGCTTGCAGTCAGGACTGTATTTAACAACGTTGGGAATGATGAATTTGAAGATATTCACGTTGCGCTGGACCAAGTTAAGGCGGCTCTCTCCTTCTTGCTGACGGGCACCAGCAGTGACAATGACCAGCTTGGAGTGTGCAGTCACACTGTAATCTGCAGACAAAAGGCTGTGTCAAACATGAGCTCTTTCTACACA